ACAGTTCCAGCTGACAAGAACCAGTGGGATAAGACGGTGCTATACGATGGATGTGACTGTGACTACACCAAATACATGATACTGCTTGAGATACTGACGAAGCAGAGTAGAATAATACGAAGGAAGACGAAGCAGATTGAGGAGATGAAGCAGAGTTTGAAGGAAAGAGAGAATAAGGGTGAGAAGGAAGTGAAGAGAAGAGAGAATAAGGGTGAGAAGGAAGTAAAGAGAAGAGGAAGGCCAAGGAAGATAGACTTAACTAAGGCAGATTCAATAAAGACAGACTTAACTAAGGCAGATTCAATAAAGACAGACTTAACTAAGGCAGATTCAATAAAGACAGACTTAACTAAGGCAGACTCAATTAGGACAAATTCAACTAAGGCAGATTTAATCAATAATGGTAACAAACCTGAGAAAAGAAAAAGAGGTAGACCAAGGAAAAACAGTCAACTACCTGATAGTAATCAACTACCTGGTACCAATACGATCAAACAACCTGTTGAAGTATCAGACAGAATTGAACAGACGCCAAAGAGTGAACTGAAACCAATAGCAAAAATACGTATCAAGCCTACTACAAGATTCATAGATGAAACAGACGAGTAATTCATTCCCAGATTGTGTTATTGGCATCCTCTTCCTTCTCATAAAGCAGAGTGTGGTCTCTAGTCTTGTTCTCAATTGCCAGTGTGCTGGTCTCCTTCCTAACAAACTCGCCTATGAATCCATCAATTTCAGCCTGTGTTGCCCTTGGCTTCCTTTGCATGGGCGTAGCAAAAATGGCACTTTTTAGGCCATGAAAAATGAGACAGAAATGAGTCACGGAACAAGGATGATTTCTGACGAATTTGGTCTCTCATTTGGAATTCAGGCCGAGGAAGTCGATGCAACTGGCCTTGGCTGCGTCGAAGCCAATGCTCGTGCTCTCCAGAAGATGGCCAGGATGTTAAGAAGCTCCCTTGGCCCAAATGGAATGGATAAGCTGATTGTGAGCTGCGATGGAATAATCACGATGACGAATGATGGTGCCACAATAGTGGACGAATATGTTGCACGTAACAGCGGATGCCTGATGGAGCTGGTTCGTGGACTATCTCGGTCACAAGACGATGAAGTTGGTGATGGAACTACGTCAATC